CGCCTGACGGGATTTCCTGGAAAGGTCTCTGGTTTCTGTTAGCGCTTTGCTGGACCGAAATCCATGTCCCTGCAGCACCTTTTGGCGTAATACCAGCTGAATCGAACATAAAAACAGCGGGTTATTGAGATTGTTTCTTCGGCAGTGTCACTGAATGCAAAATTGAGTCTAGCGTAGTCTGTGAGGTGCATTGTATCTGGCTTTGATGCAGGTAACTGTGTAGCTCAAGGCCAGAAATTTGTAAAGAAAAAATCCCCATCGGTCGGCTCTGACAGAGCCGTTGTGCCTGACAGAGCCGCAAGTGCGGTTGTGCCATGCTGGAGCGGCACAGGGCCGCCGAGGAGGCTGTTGGTCTGTCTGAGTGCGGCGTGTCCCATGCTGGTCCCTCCATGTCCAGAGCGCTGCTGGCAGCAAATGGAAAGGGGACTTCTGGTTAATGGCCTTGGATTATTAAGGTTAAATGATTTCAGTATCCTTAGAAGCTACTTATCCAAAGTCCTCCAGCAAAGGCAGGAATAGAGCGTGGGCATAACGTTACAACCTACAGCGCAATTCCCTAGTTCACATGGCTTCAGTAGTGAAGTTGATCCATACATTGTATTACCTGTGTAGATTTAGAACATTCCTCTGCTGACTTCTCTGCCTGAATCATCTCCTGTGGTGTCTGTCTCTAAATATTCTGGTAAGTAGATTTTGATAAAATATACCATCTGCTTATTTCAAAGAAAAGGGTGTGTTTTCTGCTTTACTGATGTGTAGCTTTTCTGAAGTACAAGCCAGTGACTTTCAAAACTTCAAAGCCTGCTTTTTCCCTTCATTCTCCCCCCCCCCCCCCCCCCCCCCGCCCCGATTGGACACGAATACAAAACAACCAACCCAGCCTGAACTCCAGTTAAAAATGAGTTGCCACTGAAGATGATGTGGAAGCGTGAAGCTCAGTTTTGAAAGCACTAGGGGCTTCAGGCAGCTCCTGGGGGAGTTACTGTGAGCCCAAGCTGATGAGGTGAGTGGGGGCTGGACTCACTAGGATTTCTATGGCTTCTCTCCAGGAATTGCAGAAGCTCTGAAGAGGAAGAGTAACAAAATCTAATCAGAGTTCTGACAGAAATGGATTTTCCCTGGAATTTCCCCTGGCATTTCACTGGCATTGATAGATCTGCAGAGGACATCCAGATTTAGACAACTGTGTAAACTTGGACATAAACCTCTTTTGTCACGTTTTTCTTACATATTCTAAGGTGCTAACCACATAACTTGGCTTTGAATATGCATCATCTAATATACATGTGTTCAGCATACAGAGCCATACACGACTCACTTCAGATTCCAAGAGTGGGATAGTTGTTGTGACAGCATGTACAGCAAGGATCAAAGGTACACAAATACATCCATTGCATAATACTGTATATGGAGTGCTTTGAACATGTCTTGTGATTAACTGCAAGGATTAAGACATAAAGGAAATATTTTGGTAACTGAATTCAGGATCCTCAAAGTTTTCACCGTAAGAGAACATTTTGAACAACCTGAAAAATCAGATCCTGCAGGTGTAACTGTTCTTTAAACTGACCGAAAGTAACATTGTTTGTCATTAGGTTTCTGTGTGACTTCTGAACAAAGCTGGTAACCTTGTAGAAATATATATTTTTTTTTCCTACTTATGTAATCTGAATGACAAAGTCAAATTATTTTATCTTCTGTCACATTCACTAGTGCCAAAACTAAATGGACTTGATCGATATGTGTGGCTTAATTGCTTTCTAGTTTGCTGATATCAGTGATAAACTTAAAGATTTTTGTAACTGGTAAATCTTACCTTCTTATCCATCATTTTTAATTTTGACTGAAAAGAGGAAGACCGGTATTTTATATCTCCTAAATATTGCTCATGCTTGAATGAATTAATAAAATTAATCAAACTGAACTGAAAAGAACATTCTCTGTCTGTGGAATTAGATTATCAGTTGCACAGCTACAGGTTCTCGACGTTTATCCAGTGACTTCCTATAGTCATGCTAAAACTTTGAGCAGAGGAAGATTGACGCCTCATATTTGAATTTTTTAATTCATATGATTTTAACATACTGTGTTAAGTTTGACCATGGTATACTTTGCTGTGATTTTAAATTTTAGGTTGTTTGTTTGGCAGAAAAAATAATTTAAGTCATATTTAAGAATCATTTAAAATTAAAAACAGTTTACTTGTATTAAACCTGAGGAGAGAATTCTTTGGAAATAGTTATACTCTTGCCCAGCCATCTATAGATTCACAGTTGTTCCTTAGTACTTTGCCTGTAATTCAAAACCAGATCCTGTGAATATCAATGCTATGAGGATAATAAATAGAGTAAAATAATAACACCGAGGAGAGGGAATATTTTAATAGTTCTTATGTATTAAAAATTGTAACATAAACTTCATAATTTCCTTATAATCAAAAATTCTATAACTTTTTTTTTCTAACCTCCCTCTAGATTTACTCTGGAAACATTTTTTACAACAGTGATGAGTTCTTGTAATATTTCAAATAAAGCCAAGCAATGGTTATTTTCATTGTATTTAATAAGCTGGAGTGAGTGGCATAGAATCTTCAGATGCTATCTTAATGCAAAATTAATACAAATAATCATATAATGCTTTTTGTATTTATTTGAAATGGCAAGAGCCTTTTCCATGTGAAAAAAGGAAAGTGCTGTTGTCATAAAATTGCCTGTCTAATCTGAGGATCCTTTCCCTTTTTTTTTCCCCCCCGCCCCCTGATAGCAGTAATTGTTTCAGTACCGCTGCTTCCCCCCCAAACACTGAAGAGGTTAAAATAACTCTTTGTACATAGACCTCATCTTACTTGCAAGTAATTTACTAAGATGATTTGCCGAATATGATTGTTTCTAATGTATTTGCAGGTACAGAAGCAAAATTTTTACAATCAGGTTATATTTCTTAATTGCTATGGAAACACTGATGGATGGACCAATGCATTTTTATCAATTTGGTAAGTTGCCTGTACCTTTATATTGTAAGAGGAGTAGTACTGCTAATTTTTGCTAACACTCCTCCTGAGTTACTGAAGTAAAATACCATCATCTTCTTGTAGAGCTCTCACTGGAGTAATTCACAGAATCAAGAATCTAGTGTATTATATTCTACATACTCCATTCTATACATAAACCATGATTTTCCCGTGAGAAAGAAATACTTTGAAACAGCATACTGCATTCTGCCTCTCTAAATCTCCAGTGAACTCTTAGTTGGATGTGTTGTTTTTAATTTCTTAATCTAATTTTTTTAGAGGACTCGTTAGTTTCTGGATTAGCAGGCACAACAAATGTAGTTGGTTGGCTGAGCTGTAGCTGTAGTGAGAAACTGTTTTGATAGGATCATTTAATTCTGTAAAAAGGATAAAGACGGCAAAGAAGATTCCCCATTCAGTTTACAGACCATCTTTATTTCTCCAGTCTTAATTTTCCCAGTTATTTGGTCTAAGATTTTTTTTTCCTTGTCTGTGTCTCTTATGTAAGAGTGTAACCTCCAAAATTTTGCAACTCTCCGACTATCTTTGCTAAACATGTTTGTTGAAACAAAGTTCTGAGGCAGTTTGAACTCTAGATGAATGGAATTTGATTTTGATAGGGGAGAGTCATTTAAAAATCACAAATATGGACAGAATAGAAAAACATCTGTGTCAACAGGAAATACATTAGCAAGACAGCTGACACATGTGACGTGGCTGGCATAAGAGAGAATGGCAAAAGACTGTTTGCATCTCCTAATCCAAAGGGCTTGCTCCAAGGAAGTGAATCATTACTAGAGTTTGTGCACTGACACTGTCTGTTTCTGTGATGGGACTAGACTTAATGTGATAAAGACTGCATGCCTGCTGGGAGAAGGCAGAATTCCTGCCACAAACGATTACAAATCTGAGCTTGTGTTCAGGTAAAGAATAATAACTGTTAAAGTATTGCTTTGTTATTCATACCCACTGGATGTTTTTTCCCAGACAGGTGATCTGTTACTATATGGCAAGAAATCACTTGTTCTACTTTTAAGTGCACTTCTGTAAGGGGATGTTTATTATTCAGTGATAATGTAGAAGAACAAGTGCAAAAGGAAGTTGTATGAGAGAGGATGTCTGTGGTTTGAATGGCAAAATGAAGCTTGAGAGAGATGAGTTTTCTCTCTTGTGGAAATATAAATTTGCTGCATGTGCAACTCAAGTGAGCTGCTTAATCTCTTTGCATCTAATTTCAGAAGGGATGCTGGGAGCGTAGTTTAATGTTTGTGAGATGGATGTCTGAAGAGCCAGGTTTATATTTGGCTAAGTATCCATCCCAAATGATTTTGGCAAACTTAGGTGCCCAGGTGTATTTGTGTGTGCTTCTGTGTGTGCCCGCTGGTAATTAAAGGGCAATTTTTAAGGCACTTCTCTGCAGCCATAAAGATTTTGTGCAGATATCTCTTTAATTGAGTAGGAAATTTTTCCTTTCCTCTTCCAGTACTCTCCGCAAAAGTAGACAAGGATCATAAAATAGCTACATTAATCTGTTAGAAAATTCTCCCAGTGTGTCTGGGACAGGACAGTTCCCACTGACCCACTACTACTCTGAATCCCCTCTACTTTACCAGGAATATGTATTCTGGTACTGTGTTTCACATAATTGGGGATTGGACCAGATGACCTCCAGAGGTCCCTTCCAACCTCACCATTCTGTGATAGTCCTGTCCTGTCCATTATTTGTAGATCTCAAAGATTGCTTTAACTTTTTATGAGATATGTCCCAGAGTTCTTTTCTCTTTCCCAGTCATACTTCCTGTGGCACATCTTGTTGGCATGTCAAGTGGTTCTGTTGTATTATTTGTGGCACCTGAGAACCTCAGTTGTGGACCAGAGTGCTACTGCGTTAGTTGCTGTACAAATGTAAAGTCAAAGACATTCCTTGTGCCACGGAAGTTACCGTTCTAAGTGAGATCAGGAGAATAAAAGAACATACTAAGGTGATATTAATCAGCACAGTTCAACAGAAGTAGCAGGCCATAGTGGTGTTTTGGGTATTGTCGTATTTTTGGGTAGAGGGTTTAGGTGTCAAGACAGAAGGGAGTTCATGGAGAAGAGTTTTAGAGAAAATAATGAAGTAATTTTGCAGTTATTTCCATGGTGGTTGTCTAAAGCATGAGAAAAATCATACATGTTTGAAATTAAACTAGTAACTTCTTTGGCCAACTGAGTATGGGAGTCAGCATCTTATTAGTAGGAGGACAGGCCACAGAATGCCTTTAAAATGAGGACAGGAAGTTTATATTTGTCGCACTCAGAAAGCAGAATGAAGCTAAAGGATCTTAAGACAAAAATTAGAAGGGTCAGAACAACCATTTCAAGAGTGTCTTGAAGCACCATGCTGAAAAGAAATGAATGATGCAAGACTGGGTTGGTCAAGGAAGAGAATTCTGGATACAGTGAGAATCTGGATGAATGAACAGTCTCTTACAGAGGTTATACAAGAAGATGTGGGGACCTCTGGAACATCAGGATCTGCACGAAGGCTGGGTTCAAGAGGTGACTGGAACGGTAGGCCTGACTGACAGGCTGAATGTGGCCTTAACCATGGCCTGTGACAGGAGAAGTGTCGCAGCATCTCCTGGTGGTTTTTTCCTTTTCTTTTGCAGTCAGAGAATAGAATGCTGTAGAGTTAAACACCCACAGGGAAATGTTACAGAAACAGGACACAAAATAGAGAGAGATTTACAAAATAGACCCTAAAATAGGGAGTTACAGGAGTTAGCTGCTTGAAGGCAGTGAGTAATATACCAAAGTTGTTAAACTACAGCCTTGAGGACTCCCACATTTAGGAAAGAAGGACATCTGTGAAGATGACTCAATAATGTTCTTCAAGCAGTAGTAGTATCTTTTCCCAGAACAGTTTTAAGATTCTTATCATGACTTAAAATGATATTTAATAGAGAGAGTGAGCTACCTGAAATATAGTCAGAATCCTCTAAGACAATATTTGATAAGAACATCTTAAGTACGTTTATTCACATGGAATCTTGAACCTCATCTGGCAGGGATCAGCATAAGCTTGAACCACAGTGTAGTTATCCAAGATCTAGCTCCTAGGAGCCTCAAATTAATGACAGAAGTTGGAAGGGGCCATCCTATACTCTGGGGAAGGAGGGAGCGGTAGAGGGAAGTAGTAAGAAGAAGATAGGAAAGAAAGAAACAGCTCCACTGAGGGAATACTGAGTATTGTCTCTACTTGTTGCAAATTAATATTGCCAATAGTAAGCTAATAATCAGATATTGTAGATATACAAATGCATTAATACATAGTTTCATTTTCCAGTGTACATCAGCATTCTGTCTACAGCTTGTTACAGCTTGCCTGGTAAGAGATTTTATTGTCTTTCAAATGCTTTTCCTAACACAGTTTTTAAAAAAAAAAGTGTATTCTCACCAAGCATCATTTTAAAACTTCATGCTTCTTGAAGAAGGAGCTTGATAGAAATATAATACAGGAGGGCAGTCCTTTGCATTGTTGTTTCTGTTGTGCTGAACTCTGTTCTATGGTTGCTTTATTTTGGGGCAAATATTGGGCTACTCTAATTGGGTTTATTTATTAGAATTGTTGCAATCTCACATTTGTTTGCCATTCATATTGGTGGGTTGTTTGATTCTGTGTGGGTTTTTTTCCTTTTCTAGAAAGATTTCTGGAAGGGCCACCTCACAACCTACAAATGGAATCTTGCAATTTTCAGCACATTTTGTCCTGGCAGGCAAAAAGTGATCCAACTGTACCAACATATTATCGTGTGCTGTACACTGACCGCAGGCAAGTCTTATTTTGTAAGACACAAATTTTACTTGTAATGTTTATCAGCTCAAAATACTAAGGCAGGGGTTTTCTTGTTTGTCTGTTTTTCCACTCAGAAATGCTTCCCACCACTCCCCAATGCTTTCTTGTGTCAGAGAATCCAGATAGATTATTTTGATCTTTTTTTTAAACTTGTTTTGATTTACAGGAACTGGAAGACTGCTAAACAATGTTCACATATTACACAACTCTCCTGTAATCTGACAGATGATTTTAAAGAGATGTTGACTCAGTATTCTGCGTTGGTTCAGAGCTTCACAGGAAATAAAACATTCAATTCTTCTGTACTTCACTTTGTGCCAATTACTGAGAGTAAGTTCTCTGACTGCATTTTCTCATTTTAGTAGTTTTTATTTGTAGCTGATATGTAAATGATATTCTGTGAGCTTTACAGTAATACACTCCAAACTAGCTTCGCAAGTAGCTTATTCCTTTATCTTAGAGAATATGAATTTGTATATAATCTATCACATATCATTTACAAGACATAGAATATATAGGTAGCTTTCTAAAATTAGTGGCTACAGTAGTTCTGATAAATGGATGAGGCTCTGGTTTTGAAATATATATATAAAAAAAT